GGCAATATTAAAATGAGTTATGTTGTGTTGTTGTTGATGTTGCTGTCGACGTTGCTGTTGTTGTTGTTGTTATTGTTGTTGCTAGTGTTGTTGTTGCTGTTGTTGCTGTTGATGTTGACGGAAAGCCTAGACGACCTCGGCCGAAGGCCGAGAAACATAGCATGGGGTTGAGAAGAAAACCATCGAATGCAGCCTCGTGGCCACCCCGGGGCGGAACTAACTGCAAAAAAAAACCCGGCACGGCAACCCGCAGCCGAGGCGGAAACTGCGGCCACCGCACTCCTGGGCCCCCGCCGGTGCGCGGGGGAGGGGCCCACAAGTCAGGAATACCAGCGCCGCGCTGACAAGACGTGAAAAGGGCGCGCTTCGGTGCCATCGGGAGTAAAGCCATGCAAGCCAGATTTAGGCGCGCTCCTGGAGAAGAGGGCTCGGGCGTTGGCAGAACTGGGTTTAGTGGGACCTCGTTTAGTGATGTGCTGGGGGACGCCCCCCCGCCCCATTCCACACACCGGAACTGCGGTCACCTGAAAAACGCCAGATACGGCAGTCCTGGTTTAGTGATTCTGGCAATTTTAAAGCTCTGGGGCCCTGCCACTAACCGGGTCCCCTTACCCTGGGTCCTGGCTATACCCGAAGGGCGAGGACGAGCAGGACACCCCGCAGCGCGGGGCACCCCCCTTCCTGGCCGGTGCTCAAGCGGATTGGAAACACCGCGCCGGGCCCAGTGGGGGCCAGGCCGTGGCGGGACCGAGGTGGCAATGCGACCTAGCGCATCCTCCTCCAATCCTCCGTCTCCGCTATCAGAGAAACGATGGGTTCGGTTTCTGTCGGGGATTCGGTCTTCTGCCAAGCACGGGCCAACGCCCCCATCCGTCCTATCGGCCCAGGCCTAGAGCAAGGGCTGAAGGCAGCCGTAATGGGGCAAACTTGGGGTCAGGTAAGGTTCACGGGGTCATCTTGGGGCAGTGGTGGGGCAATCTTGGGGTCATACAGGGTTCACGGGGTCTTCTTGGGGCAATCTCGAGGCCATCTTGAGGTCACGGGGCCATCTCGGAAGCATAGGGTCAAATCGGGGACACGGAGTAGCATCAGTTCGGTCGGGTTCGTCTCGCTGCCCTGTTGGGGTCGTGGGGTCGCGCCGGGGTCGTCTTGGGGCCGTCCCGGACCTCCGACGATTCGTTTTTTCGAGTCGCGGGTGCCTGGAGCTCTCGACCCCCTCCCGTTTGGAGTCGTAGGGTCGCAACGGGTTCGTCTTGGGACCGCCCTAGACCTCCGACGACTCGTTTTTCGAGTCGCTGGTCCCTGGAGCTCGCGACCCCTTCCCACGCGTGCATGAATCCCAAATCGGTTATTGCGCGGTCCTGGGCCCCAGAAGGGGCCCCCAGGGGCCGAGGGCTCTGAACAAAAATCAAGCCGTCGCGATTAATGAGTCCTCTGGTGTGCGGCCGGCCGAGGGGGGGAAATTCGTTACTTTTCCTCCCCGCTCGGGGCGGGATTCGGGCGGTTGCTCGAGAGCGTAGCTGTCACGGAATACCCCCCTTCCCTCTTCCCTCCTTTTTCTTCTCCTCCTCCTTTTCCTCCTCCTCCTCCTTTTCCTCCTCCTCCTTTTCCTCCTCCTCCTTTCCCTCCTCCTCCTCCTCCTCCTCCTCCTCCTCCTCCTCCTCCTCTCCTCCTTGCCCGAACCCGTGGCCCGAGTTTCGGCCACGCTCGCCGGACAGTTTCTGACAGCGAGTTTCGGTGCGCATTTGGCGCGTCGTGGCCTCCTCGTTTGGCGTTGGGCGTGGAAAACAGCAAAGAGCCTGTTCCTTTGGAGCGCTTGTCTGGCTTGGCCTTCTCCCCTCCCCTTCCCCCCTCCTCCTCCTCCCCCTCCTCCTCCCTCCTTCCCTCCCTCCCTCCTCTCGTCCCTCCTCTCCTCCCTCCTCCCCCTGCTCCCCGCCCCCTCTCCTGCCCCCGCCTCTCCTTCCGCTCCGCCCCCCCCCTTCCTGGGAGAGGCGCGCGCCGCGCGGGGCGGCGCAGGGCCCTGGAGGCCCTCCGCGCCCTTGATCGCCGTCGACTCTGCGAGCCTCCAGGCGGGGCTCCGGCGGCCGAGGGCAGAGGCAGGACAAGGAGGGGGGAAGGGAGGAGAGGAGGGCAAAAGGGAGGGGAGGCGAGAACAGGCAGCGGCACATGGAGGGGAGGGGGGGCAGGCGGGGGAGGAGGCGGAGGCGGCTCTATCTATGGGGTGCCCCGCCCACCCCAGGGCCCCAAGAGAGCCCCCAAGCCGCCGAGAGGGCCCCAGGAGGGCTCGAAGAGCTGGTGATCCAGGCGGCAGGGTGGCACTTTCACAACGGGGTGGAAAAGTGAAAGCGCCACTTTTCCCCGCAGGGGCGGCGCTTCCACGGCGGCCCGCCACGGGGACGGCGGCCCGCCACGGGGGGGAGAACGGGCCCCTCCAAGACGGCCGAGGAGGGCTCCAAGTGAAAGTGTAACTTCCTTCTGGGGGCCGCCTGGCCCCTGCCCCCCCTCCCTTGTCCCCCCTCACTCCCAGGGCGGAGAACCCTCGCGTTCCCCTCCTTTCCCAAACTTATCCCAAGCCGGGAACCCTTACTTTCAGAAAATGGTAACTCTTCAATCGAAGGTTCCCGGCCCTGGAAAGGCTTGATAAAAAGGGGGACGAGGCCCTCTTGGGCTGCATCGGCCCCTCCAAGACAAAACGGCCTGGGAGGACCCAGTGGCAGGAGGGCCCCAAGAGGGATCCAAGGGGCACCCAGGAGGACCCCAGTGGCGTATATAATTCGAGGCTTTGGCCACATAGACCCCTGGAACCCTTCGGGGAGGCCCGAAAGAGAGAGTCCAGGAGGGGCCCCAGTGGTGCATATGACTCGAGGCTTCGGCTATGTTCACCCCTGGGGCCTCCTCTCAACTTTCCCGGGGCCCCTACAGGACGGCCGGGGAGCGCCCCAAAGGGGCTCCAAGAGGGCCCCCGACACGTGCAACGGCCGTCTTTGGGGCGCTCTTGTGACCCTCTTGGGCCCCTCCAAGGTGGCCTGGGAGGGCCCGAAAGGGCTCCAAAGGAGGGCTAAGGCCCGAAGGCGACCCCCAAAGATGCGCAACGGCCGTTGCGCTGCGCACCTTTGGGGCTCACGTGGGACCCTCCTGCGGCCCCCTTTGGGTCCAGAGCGGATAGGGCCTCAGGGCCGTCCAGTTTCGCCCTGGACTTCAGGGCCGCCCAGGGCAAAAGTAACCCACATCAATCCCAGGATTGAGATGGGTAGGTTGGCCCCACCGTCAGAAGACAGATGTCACATGACTGGGTCGAGAACTTCACCTGACCTTTGCCTTTACAGTCTCCCCTTCGCCGTTTCCGCCCCATGCCACGAAAAGGAGAATGATGAGGAGTAGGAGGAAAACTGCGAGAGCATCGCGTGAATCGGGTCCCTCTCGGGCCTTGCAGTGCCGTCTCGGAAAGCCCCAAGGGGGTTCAAGAGGGGCCTGGCATTTCTGGGCCCCCCCCGGGTCGTCTTGGAGTGGCCCCACAGGGTTCCGCGAGGATTATTGGAAGGCGCCCAGCGGAACTCACCAACCCTACGGGCTCTCCAAGTGCTTTAAGAGGGCCCCGAGAGGGCCCCGGGCCCCAATATGCAATACACATGTAACACACACCAACAAGGGAGCGGTTTGTGCTAAGTCTGCGTTGCATGCTGGGCCCTCTTGGAGCCCTCAGCGGGCTCTCGCAGCACTTGAGAAGGACCCCGAGAGGGCTCCAAGATGGGCCCCAGATTCAACACATGTAACACAAACCGCTTCCTTGCTTGGGACCAGGTTGTGCTGAATTTGCGTTAGGATGCTGGCCCTCTTGAAGCCCTCTTGGGGCCCTCTGGGAACCCGATGGAACTTACCACGAAGTTCCGTTGGTGCCCTCTCGGAGTCCTCTTGGAACCCTCCTGGGCCCTCCCAGGTCGTCACGGAGTGGCCCAACAGGGCTCCAAGAGGGCCCCAGGGGGGCTTCAGGAGGGTACCCAACGGAACCTACCACGAAGAGATCAGAATCTGTGTCGCAATACGTTGAAACATCACGACGCCCAGTCTGTTGCCCCCGGAGCGGGCCGACTCGGCTCTGGAAAAATGGAGGAGGACAAAGGGGCAGAATCCGGGCGTCAATATTTTCAAAAATCTTGACGCCCCCGTTTTTGCCCCCGGAGCGGGCCGACTCGGGTCCCGACAGCAGCGCAATGCATGTGATACATACGCAGCTACACATAATTATACATATAATATACCAAACACGCGTCCTTACTGCGGCTTGCAGCTGTCTTCTAGGATGTGCGTATATGTGTGTGTATAATATATATGTATATGTATATACGTGTACGCATATATAAATATACACATGCGTGCCCAATTCGATCGAGAACCCCCCCCGCCCTGCGCTCGCAACATGGGGGGGGTTCTCGATCGAATTGGGGCGCTGTGTAGCCGCCTCGGCTCCTGCCGCGGGAGCCTCAGGTGGAGCTCCTTCTGGGGCCGCGAGACGTGTGAGGAATGCGCCGAAATGGGCGGCGCGGTGGCGCGCGACCCCTCCCAGTTGCGCCTTCGGTGGAGCTCCTTCGGGGAGGGGGCAAAAGACGACGACGAGAAGGAAGGGGACGAGGAGGAAAAGGAAGGGAAGGAGAGAGGGGAATAGCGAGGGATGGATTTTTGGGGGAGAGGGGATGGCGCGGAGGGAAAGAAAAGGGGATGGGGGCGACGGAGGGAGGGAGGGAGGGGGGGAGGGAGGGAGGGGAGGGGAGGGGAGGGGAGGGCTTGCCGCGCTGGGGCCGGCTGGAAGGCTGAAGTGGCGCACCAGGAAATGTTTCGCCGCCTTTGGCCTCCAGAGGCCGCTTTCGGGCCCCAGGGCAATCGAGCATTATTTTGAGCGGGAAATGTTTCGCCGCCTTTGGCCTCCTGAGGCTTTTCGGGCCCCAGGGCCTAACCGTCCTTCCATCGGCCCCGCAGCGCCCTGCTCACACCCATAGCTTCGAAAGCCATTTGGGCTCAAGCATGCCTTCTGACGAAGCCAGAACCTGCCTGAAGGCAAGATATTCACGGTGCGTGGGCAGATGGTTGAAAAGGTTCCTCGTGGATCCGAGCCATCCGCACTTGGGTTCGTGGCTTACGGCTGGGGAAATCGATGGTGCATGGTCAGTTCGATGTGTTCTGTGCGAGCTCCACACGGGTGCTCCGACGAAGTTGGTGTCGACTGGGGTGTCGAGCACGCTGAGCGCTGGGAACTTGAGGCGGCATGAGTTCAGCCATAGGCACACGCAGGCCGTCCGAGCATGCGTGAACGAAAAGGCCCAAACTCTAGCTGAACAGGCGCTGTCACGTGCACCGTCGGCGCAGGAATTTGCGGACGTTCTCAAGCACCGCCAGATGCTCAGGTCCAACCAGAGTGCTCTGAAGACCGAGAGCGGCGAACAACTGGGCCGCAAGAAGCTCGTCCGCATGACATTCGCTTTGGCCGAGGGCAAGCGAGCTCAGGAACGTGAGTTTATGCTCGGTGCCCAGTACATCGCCCTCCATCAAGATGGCAAGGGGCAGCGACTTTTGGTGAACTACGTCGCCACAAATGCAGCTTTGGAAGTTCGGCACGGTGTACTAGGGCACGTGCATCATCTGACGATGGGAAAAGGCCACATTGGCATCGTCCTTGGGGTAAAAGAGGTGCTCCGCAATTTCTGCACAGAGAACTTCTTCGCGCCGGTGGCGGCGCAGCGGAGCGTCAATGAATCTCTCCTGGAGCACATGCAGCAAATCACCGTTGCGCTAGATGCAGACGGTGCGTCAGACGAGCAGCTGGCCATCAGGGTGTTGCAATGCCAGTGGACACCCAACGCAATGGTTTTCAAAGACCACACGCATGCGTCCCGGCGTCTCCTTACGCGACCTTGGTCGTCAGATGAAGTTTTGAATGGGATCATGAAAATGCGCGTAACCACAAAGAAGTGCGTGACGCAACTCATTCAGCACAGTGATCTGTTCCAAAAGTACTTCAGTGAGCTCATCAAAGACTTGGACCCTGAAAACAACGTGGCCCCATCGTCTTCGGAACGCATCAAGGACCTCAAATCGGCCATGCACCGGTTCGAGACGCATTTCGAGCCGATCTCCCGCATGGTTCTCTACTGGCCCGCCTATTTTCTGACGGTGAAGCGCATTGCCATCGAGCGGCGAGGCGCGCCGCGGATTTTGCAAGAAACCAATATTTGATGTGAGGGTAGCTCAATGCAGTATCACTGAGTTTCGATTTGCTGCGCATCAAACGTTGAGCAGCGCCTGGGGTTGTCTTGGCCTAGCTTATATCTGCTTTGCGCTGCTTGACTTGGCGTAGCTTTCCCAGGTTCGGGAGGCCCGTCTTAGCTTAGCTTCGGTCCGACAAGTTACGGATGAAACATGATTTCCCGATCACATCAAATCGATTGGATTCTTGCACGCCCCATCTAGGGAAGCCGGAGTCTGCGAAGGCCATGGAGTTCATGAACTGGGTGACAGAAGAACGGCTCGTTACCATGGCAATGATGGCGGATGCAGCCCAGCACGGATTGGAATTTGTACGATTCTGGGATTCCCCTGATATGGACCCATCGACAATCTCAATGGAGATTAGCGCGTTTGTTCAGAAAATCAAGACGCTTTTTGTCCTGGGCAAGTGCACCCGGGTTGGGCACGCCTGCCACATGTTGGAACTTCTGAAGAAACCTATGCCAATCGTGCGCCAGGCCAGTGGCAACCCGCTTCGATCTATTGGAGGCGTGGCCTTGCAGGGGGCCGCGGCGTCGGCCCTGCAGCGCATGCAATGCTGGGTATCTTTGGCCATCGAGGTGATAAAAACAGAGTTCCCGGATTCAGAGTTCTTACAATGCTTCGCAATATTTTCTCTCACCCGGGGGGCTGATCTTCGGCACTCGCTAGCGGATGACAGCTGCTTTGCTTCGCACGCTCGCCGGCTGGCGCTGAAGGGCGGCATGGACGTTCGGGCGTTCACTCAGCAGTTCGACGACGTCCACTCCCTGGCGCAGAGCATATACGCCACGACACCACGCATGACTTGCTTGGATGCGTGGCGCGAGGCCTTAGACAGGAAACGACGGCGAAGGGATGTGCCGTACGATTGCATTTCACGAGGCCTGCAAATGTACGCAGCTTTCCACGCGTGCACGACGAGCAATACCGAACGGGCCCTGAGCACGCAGTGCAGCCTTCTGACTAAACATCGGTCCATGACCCCGCGCCTGGAGGCAGCCGAATTGGCGCTGGCAGGACGCGGGCTTTACCGGGAGGCGAGCATCATTGATGACGCGCGCCTCTTCTACGTGGCGATGTTCGGTTCTGCTCGGAAGTCTTGCTGGGCGCGCTCTGACAAAGGAAAACTCCGCGGTTTTTCTGGCGGCACGTTGAAGGCCTGGCGCGCGAAGCAGCGCCGCAAGTTGGAATCCATGATTCACGTGGACGGCGCCTGCGACCTCGATTCCGTGAGGCTGCGCGCGAGGGAGCTGGGGGCGCAGCGGTGGACGCCCAAAATGGATCAGGAGTGCGATCTGCAGCGCAAGCGCCGCAAGATCGCTCACCTAGAGCGAGTGCTCGAGGGCACGGCTCTCCCGGAGGAGTGCGGGGCGGGGGACGCCGAGCTCGCGGAGGAACATCGCAAGGGCACGCTGGAGAGCAGCATTCGGTTGCACAAGGCCCACCTTCAGCTGATTGAGAAGATGGCGCCGGGGAAGCCGATGAATTTCCACGGAGTTCAGGCGTGGTTCCATCCCGATGTTCCTCGAATGCAGCGAGAGCGTTTGCTCCAATCGGACACGGGTCTCGTCGCCCAGGAGTCAGTTGCGAGGGCTGGCCTCGTCTTGGTCGCCAACAACCCCTTCAGGGTGCCAGATTATGTTCAGCTTGCCGCAGTGTTGAGTGGCGCCCGGATCGCTTCACTTGAGTTTGTTCTTTCTCGGGGCGTGCGGGGCGCCTCGGTCATCTTTCACAACTCAGGGTTGCGAAAATCCAATCGCAGCGTTTGGTTTTCTCGTAGGTTCGTCCGCAAACACCCAGGATGCTTTGAAGTGTTAGCGGATGTCTTGCAGCAGCCAGGCACTAATTGGAGACTGCTCGAAAAGCGGGAAGCATTCGTCCGGGCCACGCTTGCAAACGTCAACCGCCCGCGTAGACAGCAGCGGCCTTACCAAGTGCTGGCATTTCTGACCAGGGCTGAGAAAAGGCATGCGAACTTCTCGTTCATTCAGGGTGCCTTCGATTTGCCAAGCTTTTTCGCTTACAGCGAGCTGGGGTGTGATGCCACGACGGGTGCGTGCCGGCGCTGATTGGGGCGCTGCCGGCGACCAAAAAAAAACATCATCATGCGCTCCTTCATTCAATCATACTGTCCTTCTTCTTACTTCAAATGCTCATCCTACTCCTGTTCCTTGACGCCGCTGTATTTTTCCACGTGTTCCTCTTCCTCGTCGTCTTATTCCCCTTCATGCGTCTCCCCTAATTCCTGCCTCTCCTTCCTCCTTCCTCAATCCCCCCCCCGCCCTCATTCTCACCCGCCTCTCCTTTGTCATCCGCCAGATCCCGCCCCCCTCCTCATCATGTTCCCCCCCGTCCTCCATTCGGCATTCTTCCCAACACATCCGTCGGACAATCGTTGCGCGAGTTCCCGAGCCCGAGCCCAGGGCCACTGCTAGGATTTGGGCCAGACAGGCCCTCCCAAGTTTTTTTTGCGGGGGGGGGAGTAGGTTAGCTCCCGCTCAAAGCGCCGAAACTCCGAGGGGCAAATCCCCCCGACCTCGACGCTGCTGTTGATTCCGACCGAAACGCAACAGCAACGCAGCAGCAATGACATCCGCCGGGCAATACTGGTGACGGGTAACTCTGTCCAGGGTCAGCCGTGCAACAACTGTCGCGGGTGATTGTCTGGAGACGACGGCCCAGATCAAGGGGGCCAACATGTCAGAGTGAGGGGGCCGAACGGTCTTACAATGTCCCTGGGTGCGTGGCTGCACTGGGGATCCGTGGAGAGGATTATGTTTTTTGCTGTTGTTGTCGTCCCAGCGGGTGGGTCGAGGCGCGGGTGGGTCGCGGCGCGGGCGGGTCGCTGCGCGGGTGGGTCGCGGGTGGTTTGCGGCGCCGAAGGGTCGCGGGTGGGTCGCGGGTGGGTCGCGGCGCGGGTGAGTCGTTCGGTCCCCTCGGTGCCTGCCCTTGGGGCTCTCTTGGAGCTGTCCTGGGGCCCTCTTGGAGCCGTCTGAGAGCCGTAGGAAAGGGCCCAAGAGGGCCCCAAGACGGCTTCAAGAGGGCCCCAAGATCGGTCACGCGAGAGAGGGTTCGCGTGACCGCTCTTGGGAGCCTCTTGGAGCCGTCTTGGGGCCCTCTTGGGCCCCTCCGAGGGCCATGGGGCGGGTCCTCCACGAAGGTCGAAGAGGGCCCCATGAGGCTCCCAAGAGGGCCCCAAGATCGGTCACGCGAGAGAGGCTTCGCGTGACCGCTCTTGGGGGCATATTGAGGCCTTCTTGGGGCCCTCTAGGGCCCTTCCGAGGGTCCTGGGAAGGGTATGATTGGGGAATATCAGGACAAGCATAAAACATTGTCGGGCCTCTTGGGGGGTTCTTGGCAGTCTTTGGGGCCTCTTGGGGACTCCTCCGGGGCCGTGGTCATCTTGGGTGGGGGGAACGCGCGAAACGTTATTCGACTTTCCGTGATTGCCGTTTCATGGCGATATTTGGGTTTGCTTCCTGCAGTGCTTATTTTGTGAATGAAAAATCAACAAACTTCAAAGAAAATTGGTTGTGCAATTCTTGGGCTTTCAAGAAGTGTGTTTGCACGTCGTTTTTTTCAAGGGAACATGCCTGTTTTGTCCATGCAAAATCGTTTTGCGAGGGCGGCCTCACGCATATCGCTGCGAAAGCGAATAGATGGTCTTGGGGCCCTTCCTGGGTCCTTCGTTTACGTTTTTCGAAAGCCTTATGAAGCCGGGGGCAAGGCCCGAGAGGGCCCCAAGGTTGCTCCAAGAGGGCCCGAAGATGGCCCCAAGATCGGTCACGCGAGAGAGGCTTCACGTGACCGTTCTTGGGAGCCTCTTGGAGCCGTCATGGGGCTCTCTTGCCCCCCTCCGAGAGCCCGGGGAGGGGTCCAAGAGGGTCGATGGGACCTGAGAAGGGCCGTTTCTTTTATGGCATAGGGGCCGATGGGTCGCGGGCGGGTCGCGAAGCGGGTGGGGCGCGGGTGGGTCGCAGTAGCTGCGCCCGCGCGCCCGCGCCCTCACTCTTATCCGCAATTGCGGGGTGCTACGGAACGTACTAACTCACATTCACACTACCTAGTCTTGTGTGTTGCCAGACGCCTCCCTGTGAACGTCCAGAGATGGGGGGAACGAGCATCGGATAGAAATCGAGCCCAAGGCCGGATCAAGCCTGGGTCAACGGGCTCAGGAGGAGGAGGAGGAGGAGGAGGAGGAGGGGGAGGAGGAGGTCGGTCGGTCGCGGACTTCGTGTGATGCAGTCAGCTGCACTCTTCTGGGGGGGTGCGCGCACCTTTGGATGCGCGCGACCCAAAAGTGGACCTCAGAAAGCCCAATCAAGATTAAAGTGAATGTTTGCCCCCCATTGCCCCATTGCCATCGTGGCAAGTCACTGCGCTCATACCGCAAAACAAGTTCGAGCGACAACATTCGGCATCGGCAAGTTTGGGGAGTTTCCCTCTCCTCTATAGTAGCCCGCGTGGGGCCTGTTTGAACTTTCCTCCCGGCGCGGGCCCTTTTCCGAAAAGTGGGCTCGCGTTTTGTCTGAACTTGGTCTCTTGGCCTGCCAGCGAAGAAGGTAGGAGTGGGAGCGAGGCAGAGAGGAGCGAGAGGGAAAGGAAATGAAGGGAAAGAAAGAAAGAAAGACAGGTCCGGAGTGCCCCCGGAGGGGGGGGGAATCCCCCCCTCCCCGGGGGCGCTCCGGACCTGTCTGGAGTGTCCTAGAACTTGAAAAGACCTGTCTATACCTGTCCCCCGGGGGCACCCGGACCTGTCTGGAGTGTCCTAGAACTTGAAAAACCTGACCGGAGGCACTCCGGACCTGTCTGGAGTGCCGCCCAGGGGGGGGGGATTCCCCCCCCCCTGGGGGACAGTCAGAGGACGCGTCAGAGCGCACCACCGCAGTCAGTCATCATATCGCCGTCATTGCTGTAACATTTCATCACGGTACAGACTCGTGGCGTAGCGATGCCCAGGCATTTCGGCGATGGGCCGCTGCGGTTGGGCAGCATATGTTCGGGCCTGGGCACGGACCGCGAAGCACTCGCTGACATCCAGGCCGTGAACGCCGGCTTGCATGTCGAGTACGTCTTCGCGGCGGACACGGACCCCGCATCGAAGGCCATCATTCAAGCTAACCACGACGACATACGTCACTTCTACGACGACGTGTGCGGGCCAGAATTCGTCGCTGCTCCTGCCTGCGACTTGCTGGTGGCAGGGTACCCGTGCCAACCATTCAGTGGCGCAGGCGAAGGGCTCGGAATTGAGGATCCGCGCGCTTCTGTGATTGGAGCGATTTTATCATATCTCGACCAGCGCCGGCCACGGATGGTGGTCCTTGAGAACGTCGAAGGCTTACTGCGGCGTCACGGTGAGTGTTTTCTGATGGTGCTACGCGCCATGCAGTCCATTGGTTACACAGTCTCGTGGAATATTCTGGACTCGAAGTTGCACGGCGGCGTTCCTCAGAGCCGCCGTCGCCTTTATCACGTGGGAGTCCTGCGCCCAACTAAGCCGATGCGATGGCCCCCCCAGCTTCAGCCACGTCCTTTGGAAACATTCATCGACGATACAGAGTTTGGGACCCGCCTTCCGCCGGGTCGGCGCGGCTCGTTGGCTCGCCGCCGCGTAGCCGCCGCACTGAAGGTGATAGAACAGGCTGGCCTGAATTTCAAGAGGGTGCCCATGGTGTGCGACATCGACAGCCGTCGAGCTCAGAACTGCCTCGGTCGGGTGCCATGTTTGACAAAGCAACGCGCCCGAACCGGCTACTGGCTAGTGTGGAAGGGCAGGCGGTTGAACAATGACGAGATGATGCGATTGCAAGCAATGTGTCCAGACCGCCTGCGAGTGGGTAGCCTGGGCATACGACGAAGACACATAGGAGGCATGATCGGAAATGCCTTCACGCAGAGCGTGGTTGGGCGCGTCATGATAGGAGTGCTAGGCTCAGCAGGCTGCGACAACTTAGTCGATCCGTGGTCTCGCTGACTGCGATCTCCGCTACACTCATGCACCACTGACCGTCGTCGCCTTGGCAGTGCAAAATAAAAACATAGCCATCATCAAGCACGCCCCCCTTCATCCTCGACTCCTCCCCTTCCCCTGTCCAACTATCCAGCCTCGTCTGCCTCGTACTCGTACTCGTCGTCCTCGTCCTCAGCCTTCTTGTCCCCTCCTCTCCACCTCCTGCTCCTTTTGCTGCTGGTGCTCGCCCTCCTGCTCGCGAGGGTTCGCTTCGTCGGGTCGACGTTTTCGGCGTTGGTCTACCCCTTAGACAGTGCGTCCCGCTCGTTGCCGCTGAGGCACCCCTTCTGGGGTCAGGACAGCACGCCGATATCTCGCCGCACTGCTCCCGCAGACCCTGCGAGAACGGCGGGGGTAGCTCTATATTTCTTCAGGGGGGAGGGGGCAAAACCCTGCCCTGGCGTCGGCCACCGTCCGGGGCCACTGGCCCCGAGCTGGGTCAGCGCAACTTGTCGGCTGGACACGGCTCGGAAAAATAAAAGACCGCGCCCGGACCCTGTCGACGTGTGTGAACGGAAGACGGCTTCGCGTTTCCGTGGGTTCGCGTTTCAGTGGATTTCACCTTTCCCCCTTCCCTCAGTGGTCGTCTCTCCTCCTCGGGCAGGTCAGCGCAAAGGACATTCGTCGTAAGCCCCTTCCCTTTGTTCCCTTCCCCGACCCGGGGGGGGGGTCCCGGGGGCGGATCCGGGGGGGGGGGGGGGGCAGCGGGGGGGTCCCAGGCCCCCCCCCCTCCCAGGAGAGGCTGTCATCCCTTAGACTTCCTTCCAACCCTAAGACGATCCAAGAGGCTTCCCAGACAGCCTCAAAGCAATCCAAAACGCCCAATATGGCCTCAAGACGGCCCCAGAGGCCTCCAAGAGGGAGGTCCCAAGAAGGCGCCAAGAGGACTTCCCGGAGGGTCCCCATGCAGCAAAAATCTTCCAAATCCGTGAGAAAAGCATACGTTTTTATTACATTCGCCCGCCCGCCTCGCGACCCGCCCGCGACCCATCGGCCCCTATGACATAGAAGAAACGGCCCTTTCCAGACCCCATCGACCCCCTCTTGGACCCGTTCCAGGGCCTTCAGAGG